CACACTAAAACGCACTCAAGAGAAGAAGCTTGGCAAAATCATAGTGCTGTGACAGACATCATCACCTTCGCTATAGCATAGCAGTAATCAGTCTGTAAATGAAGTGTATCTGTTCTTTCTTTTTTTAAATATATGCTTGGAACATTTGGAGCGATAACTCTGTATAGCAGTCATTACCGTCACAGAGAAAGTGTGGTTCTGCCTGCAGGCCTGCTCTAACAGAGCTGCGGAGCAGCCTTTATAGATGTGTTCCTCTAATGAAATCTCAGTTCAGGAAACAGACTGCTAATCTCTCGTCTGCTGGAGCCTGTGGCATGCTGAAGGATTAACACACCTCATGCTAGAGATTAAAAGTAGCGGTAGCCTCTGTTCTTTACCCTCTGAGGTACTCTTTAGCTGCTTCAGTGAGGACCTATCAGTGGAAAGAGACCAAATAAGGTACAAAAGAGAGGAGGGAAAGCAATTAAGTTAAAAGAAAACTGACACGGAGGTGCTTTAAAACAGGATTTAGTGTCAGAATAAAACAGTCCTGAATGTTTAAATCACTTGGCCACCCTTTGCATGTCACTGATTCTCCAGCATACAGCAGCTGTGATTGTGTGGCCCCTTCTGAATGTTGCAGTGCATTGGTTTTGTGTTGTGCATGGTGTTTTAGTGTTCTGAGGAGGACATGGAAATGAACTAATAGTCAAAGCTAAATGTTTTAACTTTATGAAAAATAATTACAGGAGACCCTGAGGATAGCTGTTTAGTACTTTATATCATGCTAGTGTGTATGTGCTAGGAACCAAGCACTAGCTTCAGAGTTCTTTGATATGAGAATGTCTGCCTTCAGAAGTTTATGGCATTATAATGGCTGATAAAGAAGGAGAAACTCAAGTGACAGGAATTTCCATATGCCTGGAGGAGCAAGTAAAAATGATGCACAGCAGCTACCAGCCCAGGCATTTAAACAGAAATTAATGGCTCCCGATGCGAAGATGAGGCTTTGTCTTCTGGCTCCACTTCTAAAGAGGCGATAAAAAAATATTGTTTAATTTCTGTTAGGATATCATGAAAAACCTGTGATAGATGCCTAGCAGTGTGACACCTGGAGGTTTAGGAGTAATTCTGACCTACTTCTTACTTCAAAATACCCATCTGACTCAATAGGAAGCGTTGGACAGATTAACTAGCAAGCGTGGCTACAGTGAAATGAATTTGATCGGTTCCAGTGCAGGATTTTAATTCAAGCAAAAAAATTCAAGGAGCAGGCCTTAAATTGGTGGTTTACAGGAGAAAAATGTCTTCTATTTGCTCTGTATTAGTGAATCGATAGGATGAGAGGAAATAGCCTCAAGTTGCGCCAGGGGAGGTTTAGACTGGGTATTAGGAAAAATTTCTTCACCAAAAGGGTTGTCAAATATTGGAGCAGGTTGCCCAGGGAGGTTGTTGAGTCACCATCCCTGGAGGTATTTCAAAGACGTGTAGATGTGGTGCTTAGGGACATGGTTTAGTGGTGGACTTGGCAGTGTTGGGTTAACGGTTGGACCCAATGATCTTAAGGGCCTTTTCCAACCTAAATGATTCTATGATTCTATGCGTTCATGAGATCAAAGTTTAGAGGCAAGCTGAAGATCTCCCCCTGTTTTAACTTGGCTTGAGAAGATGCTATTGATCTTAGTGAGGGAAAATGAGATTTTTGAAGAATTGCTTTATTTTGATTTAAGTAGAATACAAGTAGAGAAATAGAATAGCACTCAACTAAAGAGAAATAGGACCCTGAAAGGCAGAAAACGTCACTTTTATAAAGCTTTTTGTAGTGAGTCTTTTTTTGGTGTTCTGTTTGAAGGCCCTCAAACCATACAGCTTTTCTTCAAGATATGAATGAATGTTGCTTCCTCAGTGAATGAATGTACTACTGAAGCCAGCATGACAGACCAAAGGCTTACGGAAGAAATCATCCTTTGTGCCAGTCTTTGAGTGGTGGAGGGTATGAAAACCAACAGGAAAAGTGTTGCAGACAGGAGCCATGTTCATATTTCAACAGTATTACGATATTTAGGACAGATACTAATGAGTGCCGGAGATGACAGCAGTGAGTTAGTTGCTTTTTGCTCTGTGTAAAGGAAGTAGTAGGTTTTCCACAGCCATTGAACGCTGCTTTTCAATGTTTCCTTGCTTCTTCTTAAAAAATAATGGGTATGTTATTATTCTTATCCAGGTATTAAAGGCTCAGGAGCTAAGACTCTTGGATTATTAGATCGTTGTTGGCAGGAAAAAGGAAATACAGATAATGCTCTCAGGCATTTTCTGTACAATTCAGGCATCTTACATTGGTGGTTAGGGTTATCCAAACATTGTATTATTCTTTGTTGCTGCTGACATTGTCACTGATTAAAACAAATAATTTAAGATTTGTTTCTACTTTTCTGCTTGGAGGGAGATGAGTTGTTCTCTTCCATTCACCCAAGGCAAAAATCATCATTTTATTGATCTTGTGCTTTGGTTTCTCTTATTTATTCATTTCACTTGTTTTCCATGGTAGTGGTTAGTGTCAGCCTACACCGACGAGAGAAGGGGAGCACACCAAATCTTCTGTGCCACTACGTGTCATTCCTGTTTGTAGTGGACATATCTTTAGGTATGGCAGGAGAGTTAATGTGGGTATGAACAGTCTTAGGAAAAACTATACTGTATAAAATGGATCATCTTTGCTGGAAGTCTGAGCACTTCATGGACGTTTGAATTAGTTCTGTTTAAACATCTAATTTACACTACTCTTTGCACTGACGAGATAAGAATAAAAGAAGAGATGTATCTTTCTACGTCATATATCATCTGTGAAATGTTTAACTAAGTTCTGACTGGAGGAGCAACACAACAGCTTGATTTCAGAATGAGTTTTCTTACATAATTAAAAATACCAAATGTGTGCAAAAATCAGAGACAAACAGTATGTATTCAATATCATTTATGCAGTCAGTGTTTTGAAAGCCAGTGGCTTTGACAGTACCACTTGTACTGGTCTTCCACAAAGTAGTTTTCTGCATTTTTTACATTCTGTTATTATTCAAAAGACAATTTTTACTTAACAGCTATTTCAAGCTACAGAGATTATACTCTGATCCACATCCAACCTTTATCTACAGACTTGGAGGTGCTCAGGTTCATAGTCTTGATTCTTGTCCATGTCTGTTTTTGCTGAACTCCTAATTACCCTTTGTCTTCATTGATGACTTCAGTAATACAATAGTGAATGGAATTTGACACATTTTGTAATTGACAGAAGACATAGAAAGCTATTCTAAATTGCTTCTTGGGAAGAAGACCATAAAATTTGAATTATCTTGAATTACCTTCTTGTTTGTATGTTTATGAAATGTAAAATATAGAAGCCGAGGACAGGCTATAGATAGAGAGAGAGAGATATATATATATAAGGCTGTAGACAGCTGCTTGAACTCTTTAGGAAAACTGCCACTTGTAGATGCGGTTGAATGACTTGCCAAAGAATCAACTACAAAAAAAATATGTCTGTTTTATGAATTGCAAAATGGCAATGACAGAATCAACATGTACTCTGGAGAGGGCTATAATTATCATATACACCCTTGAAAACACCTGGTGTTTTTCATTTTTTGTTGGTTGGATTTTTAATACAGAGGTCAGTACTGCCTGGTTAGGCCTGGTAACACACCTGAACACAGAGCTCTGAGATAAAAAAGTTATGCCTTTTGTAAGACCTCATCAGACTTCCCACCAGTCTGAAAAAATGTTACGAGTAGTGATGTCCAACAGCTAACTGCCGTATGGAACAAGGAATATATTATTGGGAAAATCCTTTCATGAGTGAGGATATATTTAGCTTTCTGTAAATCTAAGTAGGATCCAAGATGCTTCTTTCCAGAACAGATGCAGTCCCACAATGGATGTAATACAACATTCGCTCATGGGCATAGCTGAGATACAGAGAACAGCTAATAACCACCTGCATCCCGTGTAAAGCAGGCAACGCATCTAGAGATACAGGTTTGCAAACATTTAATTTCCTAATGAAATAAAACTACAAACACTGCAGTAGGCAAGAGGACAGCCCTGTGTGAAACTTCATTGCAGGAGAAGGACTTAGGAAACACTATCTGACTAAATGAAGAACTGTCAACAAGTTTACAAGATTAATATGTGGATTTAAGTTGCAGTCGCTATTCAAATTTCCTATCCCACATCAACAGCATAGCAGGTAACGGCAGGAACTGAAGATCCATAGTTCTGGCAGCGTTCGCATCATAGTCTCAGATGTCATCTCCATGGAGCATGTTTGTTTCCCATGGTTATGTTTCACAGTAGAGTGAGTAATGTGAAAGTGGAGGCAGCAGTTGTGGAGTCTCACTTGCTACTTATCCAGCAGTTTCCCGTCAAAACATGGGGTTTAGCACAATGAAGTTTGTTCTTTTACTATCTGTGTCAGGCTGTTTGTTCAGCAAGGTATGTTAGCTGAATATAACTACCCAGCCTCCTGTGCTTTCAGTGTGTCTGTTTGGTTGAATCACGCCATGACTGACACCGAGACACATTAGTGGGAGGATTGTTTATGAGAAAAAGGGAAACAAATTTGACACTTAAGTTTACCAGGGAAGTTGTTGCGGGAGCACAGATGCTCATCGCTACCAAATACGCACAGCCGAGGTCAGGGAAATCTGTCAGAGAAAGCAAAGAAGCCTTGAAGCAATTTTTTTTAACTGTCTGGCAGAGGAGAACACACATGAAATATTGTTACAGCTGAGCAGAGTGCTGCCCTCCTTCCTCTACTTCCTTAGGATTGCCTACTCCCCTTTCCTCCTACCAGGCTCTAATGAGACATTGCAGACGGTGCTCCTCTCCCACCTTCCCCTCTCCTTCATGGGTTCCCCCAGGAACCTACAGCTCCTCTCTTCTGTGGGCTGGTGACAGTGACAGCAGCAGCCGGCCGGGTTTGGACTAAACGTCCCCTTCCGATGTCCTTTCGCTCTCCCTTGCAGTCGTCGTGCTTGCTCCTCTTCCAGGCCCACACTTCAGCGTTTCATGCTTCTGCATGGGGAAGTGTAGCTGTAGAGGAGGCCTGGTCAGCACGAAAGTACTGACACATGGGGAACCTGGGAAACCTCTTAAGGGTAATTTAAAAATACACATATTCCTGTGCTATGGGTATAGGAGATCCTGACAAAAATTGGAAAAGGAGGATTGTTTGGGCTGAGTTGGGCTGTGTGGTTAGGGCCCGGAAAAGAGGCAAAGATAGGTAGAAGGGAAAAGGATATCACTGAGAAGACTGAAGAAAAGATATAAAAATAATAAACACTGTAAAAGGGTGGGCTTTCAGATATAGCAGTTTCTTGAGTAAAGAGGAGAAAACTATAGAAAGACATAACATGCACAAAAGGAGCAACTATTGGAGAGCTGTGGGGAGACAGACTGGGGAATGCTGTAACAGGGGAATGCAGAGGAGACTGCAGGTCAAAGTCAAGAAAAACAGATTAAAGCAAGAAGCCAAACCAGAAAATACATTTTTAAGAACCAGAAGGGGACAGGAAGAGAAAAAGTGGAATCTCCCACTCCCACCAAATAGAAGGGGAAGTATGCAGTGACAAAGATGAAAGAGAAGATACATATATTTGCACGGTAGATGGAAAGAATAGTTTATACGATGAAATGGAAATGAAATGAAGGGAAGGAAGTTATACAGTAAATTCACATTGATGGTGAAACACTATAAAATCCTTTCTCTGATTTTTCTCGGTGGCTACTAAGTGCTGGAAGAGCTGTGATTCCCACTCTGTCTGAATGATACTCCTGAGTCTTTCTGTTAGGGAAGATGCTCGAAGGAAGCAGTGCTGTATTTTGGTTCAGTTAAACTATCATTTAGCCTTTGTGAAATGTGGAATACAAAATTAAATGGTAGAGATGTACCATCTGCTGTTGTTTAATATGTGAATAAAAGCTAGTGTGTTTGGGCAATGTTTAAGTCCGTGATAAGAGCAGAAATAATGGAAATGTTATGATGGCGACACCCAGCAGATCCCTCATTGACTGAAGCATCGTGTTTCTTCCCGTGTCTTAGCACTGTCGAACATGATTCCTGGAGGAGAATGAGCATTTCCTCCTTGGCAAGGGGGCTGAGTGTTTTATGTCTGTGTTTTTCTCATTCCTTTTAGGGATCTGTTGCTGTCTGTGGCGCTTGGCCAGGTACTCTCCCTCCTTATCTGTGGCATTGGTCTCACGAGCAAGTATTTGTCAGAAGATTTCCATGCCAACACACCTGTTTTTCAGAGCTTCCTCAATTATATCCTTCTATTCTTGGTCTACACAACAACACTGGCTGTCAGACAAGGTAAGTGCCTCTCTGAAACTGTTTTGTAGAAAACAGCAAGGATAAAGGCTTTTGCAGAACAACAACAAGCAATGTGATTTAGACACATATCCCATTAACATTTGTTATGTATTTACATTATCTAGTAACACATATTGGATGAACTGAAAAAAACCCAACAAATCTTCATTAGCAAAGAATAAGTCAGTAGATACTGGGGATAGTGGTACAAAAAGCAAACATCAGTACTTTTCACTTCCTAACTGTTTTCATGGGAATGCCTTTCTTACACCTGCCTCGCTGGCACCACAACCACACACTCAGGGTTTGGTTTGGATTTGACTGCATGTCTTACTCGGAAATATTAGTATGCTTTACATCTTACGTAGGCTAAGGAGAGCTCAGGTGCAAGCAAGGAAGAGCTTGCTCGTTCTAGTTGCTGATCAAGGCAATTAAATAGATCACCTATTGTTAGAAAAAAATAGCAGCCAATTTTTAACCATTGGGAAGTAGGAGATAAAGGGAGGGAATTCGAGGTGCTGTTTCTTTGGGGTGCTGTGTGGGCAGAGCAGCTCTACAGTCCTGCCACTGCTTTGTGACAGGGCCTGTGTAACCAATCTGACCTCCAAAGTGAGAAATCCATTCTAGTATGCTTTGGTACTGTGTATCAAATGATCCTCTGTTTGACGGTCTGTATATAATATAGGGGGGTTTGTGCCTTTCCTGCCCATCCCTCCCTTCTTTGAGATTTCATGTCTAGATGAGGTGTGGGAGGTGAATGCGTTTAAGCACATTTCTCAACCACTCTTTTTTTTGTAATGGTTTTATTTACTTACCTTCACAGAACATGTGGATTATAAGCAAAATAAAAGAGCAAAAATATCATGTGCTTTCCTGCCTCAGCTCTCCTGACATAAGGAGGGAAGGGCTCTATGGAGGAAAGGAACTATGAAATGTATTAGGCCGTGGTACATTTATCAGCATACTGAGAGGTTCACGTTTTCTTACAGGAACAAATATTTTTGGGTCATTCTTTGATGTCACATCTTTTAATGATTTGGGAACAACACTGAAGCTTGAGTTCTTCATTCACAGTGCAGTCTTGTGATACAATACTATGAAGTGTTCCAAAACAGCAAGGACTTCATTTCCATGCAAAAAATGAACAGTCAAAAATATACCGCTGTGCTCCAGCACAAAACGCTTAAATGTATTACAACTTAAGTTTTATAAACCTTGGTCTCCATTGGTGTTTTTCAGCAGCAATGAAGGCCAATCTGCAGAGGAAGTGTCAGCTCTTATATAAGGAGAGATTTCTTAGGCAGTGTTTTGCTGTCTTGGTATTTCAGTTTGTGTAGGGGGAAACATCACCACATGCTTTGCTCTGCAAAAGGTTTAAAACATGTATTAGTAGCAACTTTCTGGACAACTGTGTTTAAAAATAATTCTTCTGAGTGTAGGATTGCCTACATGTTCACAAGTTCTATCCCAGAAATGTCCTTCTTGAGACTGATTTAGATACTGTGGAAGCCAAGTCCCTATGACTTTTAAATAGATTTCACTTTTTTGAAGATGCTAGCTTGTGAGGGGATATATGGGCCAGCATACTGCTGTGCATTACAGGGGTTTATTTAGAATAATGTTTGACACCTGGTATACATCGACATTTCAAAAATGCTACCAAGCACTCTGTTTTACACGTATAAAAATATGTATTAAAACTGTATTTTTATAAATAATTTTCTGACTCTGTTTAAAAATGTAGTGGTGGACTAAAGAGAGTTTGTCAGGCCTATCTGTTGTGCCAGTATGATAGATTTGGGAAGCGAATGGGGAAAGCGTCAGGGATATATGAAAAATATTTTCTGGACAAGGGAGGGTTGGGGAAGGTGTTTGAACAGGCCCACTGCTGAATACGGACCATACGAACAACCAGAGCACAACGTAAAGGGTACCAATGGAATAGTCTGGAAAAGGAGCTGTCAAAAAAAGAAAGATGGTTTGCTCCAAAAAAATCCAGAACAAAATTGGCTACAGAAGCAATGAAAGCAATGATC